CCTGCAACAGGGTCGCCGCGGGCCGGCTTGGACGCATATTCTCTTTCACCGCGATTTGGTTATTTGAAAGTCTGCTACCGAATTGGGGTAAAGAATATACGTGTACGTGCTTGTTGCTTAGAGCTTAGTGGCTGGAGGTATGGACACGCTGGTGTGAGGGGCTATGGTTGTTGAATTGAAATTCGACACGGAGGGGACGACGGAGCATATGTATGTGCCGCGAAGGCGAGCAGTTATAGTCAAGTGATGCGCAGCAATGCGTGAAGTAAAAGGATGTTTGTTTTATCAGGAGAAAACAAGGAGGAGCCACAGGCAATGAGATACGATTCCGGCAGCGGGGAGCAATGATTATGCATATCGGGGATGTAATTTTACACAGCTCGTCATGGTTTACTATAGGATATGGCTGTATTATTAATACGAGACTAACAAGCTATGTATTTTTGCCATCTTGGGATTTTTCTTAGACGAAGCATGAGAGAATAGTCCTTATCTACTAGCAGTTACAATAAATTTCACAGGAACACAATGGAATTGCAGGAAGAGAACGTTTCATTTATATACAGAAAAAAAAAAAAAACCTGCAAAATGACGAAAACTGCGTGATATTGACCATTCTCATGTTCCATACGCGCTTTTCTCTCTCTCTCCCTCTCTCAAACAATAAAAATGAAAGAAAGAAAGAAAATCCACGTTTAGCCAGCTGCGTCCCAATCAGCCCTACAGCCGGAAACATTGAGCATTGGACAGTACCCCGCTTCTTCCCCCTCCCCCCAAACTAAAACCATCCACCCTTGATGCCGTAGAATACACAGGAACGACAAACAAAACCTTCAGTCATATCAAAACAGCAATTGCGGATTCTCGTTTTTTCACAATGGATCAGGAGGAGGCAGCGGCTGTTGCAGCAGTTGTCCCCTCACCAGCGCGGGGGGGATACTCCTTACCCTCAATTTTCTGCTTGGGTGTGCAGGTGCACCACTGTTCGGTCGGGACCGAGTCCATGACACGGGGGACGTGGTTGCCGCAGCCCGCGCAGGCTGGTTTTTGCTGTTTGATTTGAGAAAGCCCGTGCGTGTTAGCGGGATTGTCCTGATCTGGGCGAAGAGGGGGAAAAGTGGATGGAAAGTCTCTAGAGAGGTTGTTGGTAATGGAAATTGCACGCAGTTCCGTGGTGCTTGTTTGCAAGCCTGTTTGTGTGATGCAGTGTGCGTGTGTGTGTGTGTGTGTGTGTGTGTGTGTGTGTTGGATGTGTGTACTTACAGCAGATAGAGCAAGACGATTGCATACACATCTTTGCTTGAGGTTGATTTTATAAATCTTTAGTCTCGCCTGCCGGTCTTGCTACTTTTCAACTTCTAGCGCTCGGATATATCATCAGTCTTTGAAATGCAATGAGTGCGGGTGCAAGTGATGCACTCACACTTGAGCTCGATTGTATGTGTTCCAACACGCAGAGAGAGGTTGTCCGCAACGTGCTGTGAAGAGAAGATCAAGTGCTTGCAACGTCCTCGGCAGGTGTGGGTTTCTCGGGCTTCGGCGGCGGGGTAAATAGCTGGCATCCAGGGTTCGCCAACGACATTTGCCTACATCCAGGGCAGCTTCATGAATTGATTCTGGCCTCCAATCCATATGCTTAATCATTGCGTCTGTAAGTAGTCAATTGCTCTCAAGCCTCGAATGCTGTTTGTCTCTTTTCTCGCTCATACTGACGACTTTCCATAGATTCTTCATAAAATGGGGATGACGTCATATCCGGCTATCTCGTGGTTATACGAAAGCGATATCATGGCAACGGAACTGGAATTCATCATCATTGTTTGAATAATAAAGGGGGGAGGAGAAACTGCATTACTTCACAGGACAGCAGAAAGACAAAATATCAGACTATCAGAATCCACGAATACCAATCCAATCCACATGTCTGAAAGTGCGGGGACAGTCGCAGAAGATCAGAAGAAGCGAAAAGAGAAAATTGGGGATCCAAGGTCATCAGTTGGGGGAAGAAATAAATAGAAGGAGTTGGTCAAAAAAAAAAAAAAAAAAAAAAAAAAAAAAAAAAAAAAAAAAAAAAACCTCCGCTTCAAGATTCAATATATCTCATCTGGTTCTATCGCCCAGAAAATTCACACGGCACGTTCATTTCTGTAATGATCTAGTTCCAAAGTACAGCCACGCCAACTGAACTACCAGTCCCTCACAAACTCCCAGCGACCAGCACCGCCGCTGCCATAACCCCTCCGATGGCAGCGACGTACGACCTTTGCCCCGTCGCGGCAGGCATGCCGCCGGTGCTCAACGCTGTTGTTGTTGTTGTCGACGTCCTCGACGCCGTCGTCGCCGTCGCCGCCACGGTCGTCCTAGATTCCTGATCCGAGTTTGTCGCGGTAGCGGCTGGCCCAGCAATCTTTGTATTTGTGTTTGTTGTACCTGTGGGCTCAGGGGTGTTGCTGCTCGATTCTCCGGAGATGGACGCCATGACTGAAGACACCTGGCTTGCATAGTCGGGTGCGCTAAGCGGGATGAGGATTTCGTTCTCGCCGCATGTTGATGCGCCGAGGTTGATTCTGTTATTCTGACGGCGGTCGAGGGGCGAGCGGAAAGGGATGGCTTCATCGATGATGTTGATGTTGTCGTTGTCGTTGGCGTCAGTGCTTCGGCGTTTGATGGTTGAAGGGTCTATGCAGCAGATGCCGTGGGCGGTGGTTTTGCCATTTCCGTTGGAGGTGACCCCACCGGAGAGGGTACCAGGACAGCAGATGTTCAAGTCCTGGGTGCCGATACAGCTGTCGGCATAGGTGGGTTTTGTGTATAGGGTTAAAAGGAGGATATCGGGTGAGTTGGGGGAGGA